TGTTTTTCATTTGGAAAAGTTTCAATATTGACATCCATCTTTGACAGTTCATCAGTTAATCTGTGGATAATTAATCATTTTGTGTATAAATTGTCAGAAAATAGTGGGAAAAATGCCCATTTTAATCTTTAGTAACCAATGATCTCTTCCTTTTGCCTTTTTGTTTGAAAAATGACAATTAATTTATTAATAAAATAGTTAGAGTTTGTAGATTAATCGATTAATTGCAACTGAGGAAAATAACCCTAACCCTAGTATACATTTAGTCCCAGCCATAAGACCTTTGAATAACAAATGGCAACAAAAGAAAATAATTGATAAATTTTTTTATACTTTGTGGTTTGACTGGTTACTTATTGAACCTGAATCTTGTGTTGATCATGTGCAGGTGAGCCTGACAGTGGATCACCCACAGAAGGTGTTGCTGATGGGTGAAGCTCAAGACTACGGCACGTGCAAGGCCATGAAGAAGAACGGAGACCCCTGCTCTCAGATAGTCAACCTGGTGGGTGCAGCTTCTGTGTGTGTGTGTGTGTGTGTGTGTGTGTGTGTGTGTGTGTGTGTGTGTGTGTGTGTGTGTGTGTGTGTGTGTGTGTGTGTGTGTGTGTGTGTGTGTCTGTGTCTGTGTCTGTGTGTTCCTCTCCCTTAATAAATCAACCTCACTTTTAAAGTACTCCATTGTATCTCACAGCTCTTTCTGTGTGGTTGTCTGTTTACAGTACGAGTGCCAGTACTGCCAGTATCACGTCAAGGCCCAGTATAAGAAGATGAGCGCGAAGAGGGCCGAGCTGCAGTCGTCGTTTTCTGGAAAAGCTCCCAATAAGGTGAAGGGGAAGGGCGGCAGTTTGAGAGACCGGCTGTGTCAGGACGGCTTCTACTACGGCGGTGTGTCCTCAGCTGCCTGCGCCTCCTCACTGTGAGTGATGTTCGATGTAGTCCTTCCTTTATTGCACAGTATCTAATCAGTGCATTCAATAATAATCAATGCAGTAATACTGAAAGCTCCCATTTGTGCGATTGTGAAAAGTCCTACTCATTGTATCCAAAAGACATTGTTGCAGACGACACATACTGAGGTCACAATCGCGTCCAATTTGGATTCTGGCTGCAATTGTATTTGCACTTTTACAGTGTGTTGAAGTCAATTTGTGCAGGACTAACTGCAACTTACAAAGCCAGGAACGCTGTGTGGGTCTGGGCGAGAATGTGGGCTGCCCGACATTTTCCAGTAACAGGTCTGTGTGTTGCAGAACGGCGTCCAAACCGAACAAACCCGCCCAGAAGACTCTGGACTCGCTGTTTGTGAAGGGCTCGGCTCAGCTCATCAGTCAGGCCAAAAAGTTGGGTAAGGACACACACACACACACACACAAACCTCAAGACTGTCAGTTAAACTAAACCTTGCTCAAAGTGTATACTTACTGGCCTGATAGACTGTTGATAAAGGCTTTCATCAATCCCTTTATACTTTGTGCACTTGTTATATGTCCTGTTTTATTTCATATTCATCTTCAGTGTTTCTATCTAACCTTATTTAGTTTTTTTTTAAATATATTTAAATGTTTTAGGGTTTTACAGCTAAAAATGTCTTGTCTACAATACAATGAACAAAATCAAGTTACCTAAGCACATGTTTTAGTTGGAGTCTTGACAGTGAAGTTTTTTTTATATTGTCTTTTGTGTGTTGTTTTTAGGCGTCCAGTCCGGTGAAGTTTCAGGTTGTTCAAATGAATTTAAGAGCTTGTTGTCAATGCCAACACCCGGAGCTCTGCAGCTGAAGAAGCACTTAATAAAGGGCAGCCAAACAGGTACTCAACCTGGAACTATCTCTGTGCATTACTAAGAAGCTAAAAATGAGGTAGTTAATTGAATTTTGTTAGCCTGGGTTGGTACGCTAGTGTGATGTTTATGTCGTTGTCCATCTTCAGTCTCCAAAGATGCATCCGAAGCTCCACTTCAGTCCATCACAGCCTCTGACCTGCTGAAGCAGCAGAAACAGAAGCAGCGGGAGTTTCTGCAGAACCGCCGGCGGAGGGCAGACGAGATCCAGAAAAAGGTGCTGCAGAGCTCAGCTGGACCCGGACCCGGGTCGTCGTCGTCACTGGGTCGGAATGGTCTGACGTCCCCGAGAGCAGCTTCTGAGGCCCCTAAGGCCACCCGAAGCCCTGCAACTCCCCACGCCCCCACCCTGGGCCGAGGCTTCTCTGAAGGGGAAGACATCCTTTTCTTTGAGAACAGCCCACCACCCGCGCCCGCCCCCCGCGCTTTCCTATCAGCCACCAAGCTGGCTGCTCTGAAGAAGCTGAGAGCCAAAGGGACCGGGCTTGAAAAGGAAGACCCCAACGCTGTGAAGAGGAAGAGGAGTGACGACACTGAGATCAACGCCCGGGTGGAGAAGAATCTCACCTCACCCAAAGGTACACACACACACACACACACACACACACACACACACACACACACACACACACACACACACACACACACACACACACACACACACATTTGTACAACACACCAGTATTCACATAATCTTAATGTAAATAAAGACAACAGAGCCAAGTTTTCACATGTTTTTGCTGGAGATTATAGTGCACTGAGCTCTTATGGCCACTGTATTTTTATCTGTGCTGTAGAACAACATAAACCTAAGCAATATTAGATATTTTACTTGGTAGCAGCATTTTTATTGTTTGTTATAAATATAAATCTATGCATGGCAAAGGACAAAGAGCTCACTGACAAATGTAAAGAAGTTTGATTTGATTAGTACAATTTAGAATTCTGCATTAGGATATATATAAAAGGACCTTATTGTTGCTTATATTGCTTGTTATAACCTGTCCTTTTTACTTTCTGTTCAGGTGAATCATCCAGTAACGGGGAAGAGGAACCTGCCCAGAAGAAGAAGAGAGATCAACTCCTCTACGTCCAATCAGAGGAGTTCCAAAAGATCCTCAGTGCCAAATCTCGCCACGATGTTGTTCTACAGGCGGTAGGAAAAGTGGCACTTTACTTCATGCATCTGTTAAGACACGCTTTTCTTAAACTGTTTAGATTTAAAGGTGCTGCACTTTGATATAAAGGAGCTGCATTATAACATTTAAAACATGTGTGTCTGAAATAGGACATTTCTAATTGAATCTGTTCTCTCTCAGGCGGAGTACCAACTGCAGGAGCGCTACTTTGATCCTCTGGTGAAGAAGGAGCAGATGGAGGAGAAGATGAAGGGCATCAGAGAGATGAAGTGTCGTGCTGTTTCCTGTAAAAAGGTGCCGATTTAAATTTACACCTGTTTGGTGCTATATAGTGTGTTTATGAGATTGATCTTTATGATAATGTATCTACCTCGGTGTAATAATCATAAATGTGAGCATGGTGGAGATGAGTAGCCCCTGGCTGTCTCTCAGTTAGAAGTAGGAAAAGTAAACTCTTCTTTCCCATGTTCCTTTGCTTCCAGTGTAGTTACACTTACTTCAAGCCGGCAGATCGTTGTGTGGAGCAGAATCATGATCTGCGGTGGCACGATGCTGTGAAACGTTTTTTCAAATGTGCCTGTGGACAGAGAGCCATCGCTCTAGACAGACTGCCCAACAAACACTGCAGGTAAGACTCCTAATGTCCCTCAAAGCTCCTGTCATCTCTTCCTCATTCCTTTGATAGTTTTTCACGGTTCTTTCTGGTCATGGAAACATTCATGTACATTATAACTAATGTTTTGTTTACCATTTCAGTAACTGTGGTCTGTTTAAATGGGAGCGTGACGGGATGCTGAAGGTAAAATCTCCCTCTGGCTCAAAGATCCTTCGAAAATCAAAACAATATTTCATTGTTGTGAAAGAAAACTCAACCTAATGTTGCTCCTTTATGTTTTATTGCAGGAGAAAGCTGGACCGAAGCTCGGAGGAGAGCTTCTCCTGCCTCGAGGAGAGGAGCACGGCAAGTTCCTCAACAGCAAGTGACAGCGCCAAGCCGGTTTTTGAGGGTTTTATGTTTGTAATTTAAGTGTGTAGCATTTTTACATTTGTATGAATTATGTTTTTAAACTTTGTTTCTTGTTTTATGGATTATGGAGACTTTAATGTCTGTGATTATACTGGATATGCTGGAAATGACCTGATTAAAGTCATAATTTGCAATATTTCATGTCAGATGTCTGTTTCTACTGAACACTGTAGTGATAAAAAAGCATTGTGGTGCAGACCTAAAAAAGTTTGAAGTTTAATACTAGATTGATTCCTCCTATCTAAACTGTTTCTCAAGCTGCTAATAAGAAAGTTTCAGCAATGTAAAACTTTATTGATTTATTCTTTCTGAATCTCAGGGCTTCCTTCCATAGTCAAACTTTTGCATCAACAGAGACAGAATATAAACACCCATATAATGCAGAGCAGAGATTGAGTTTGTGTGTATAACTAAAGCACTTAAAAGCACTTTTATTATGCCAGTAGGGAGTTATTATACTACTGACTTTAAGAAACCCAATTGCTGTTTTATGTTTCCTTAACAGTAAGGTATTGAGTTTTGGAGGGGATTGAACCAGTATCCTGTATCAGGACACAACCATCCTCTAACACACTCCATGTGTTGGCATGATGACTGTTGAGGCCAGGTGGCGCTCATTCATGTCAGCGAGTGAATCCACGTGGCCTTGAACTAGAAGAGTCTGAGGTGGAATCACAGTATGGAGACAAAATAAGGCTTTTGCAGTTTAAACTGTGATTAGCAAGTACTGAGTGCCATGCCACATCATTCTGAGGGTTTCATTTGTGCTCATTATGTCTTTGCTACTTTCCCCCCCTCTCATGCACCTCCTCTGGCTCTTCTTTGCCCAGTTTGTCTAATATTTCCACTCAGGAATGTGGAATTCATTTCAGCCTGATGACTTCTGCAGCTCGCCTCATCTTCTCTTTTATTCCACACCGCCTCCCTCCCCTGAAATACTCCACATACCAGACAGTGCAAGTGTGAGTTAAATCACATCAGTGGTTCTCTGGGAATCAGGTAACTTGTCTTTATTTGTTATTTTGACTTAAATACTTCTTTGCACAAATAAAGTTACAATCCCCCTCTGACAAAACAAGTCAGTTGTTAACATAAGAGCTTGATTTATTGCTGCTAATGCCTCAGGCTAACATAAAGGACATTGTATAGCTTGTATGTACATGTAAAGAAAAAAAAGGCAGTAAAAACAAGCATGCAAAACACATAGCCTTCAATTAATATTATAAAATGTAGCTTACAATATAAAAGCTGCACTTTTGATACACTTTACACTTATTGCACAATTTATGTTTCATAAAATAGACAAAGAAAAGAAAGAAATCTTTATAATGGAGATTAAAGTAGGGAAAAATATGGAGATAACTTTAGCATTTGTGAACAGTATGAGCACTGCTCAAAAAAGAGAGGTGCTGTAGTCTGGCCCTCCATGCCACAGCTCAGTGGAACCAGTGGTAGCGAGGATAAAGGCCGTCGTAGTGATACTCCCGCACCTGCTCATTCTTCTCCCTCGATCTCTCATTTTGCTCTGTAGATAAAAAAATTCAAATAATGTAGCGATAATCAATATTTTTTTTTATATATAGCAAAAGATAACAACTATTGATATATGACGGGTCGATCATCAACGAACAAGAATGATCACTTGACAAAATGGCAAAATGGCAGCAAGGCCACCATCGCTGTCCGTTACACCTACATAAAATTCAATATTAACACTAATTCAGTCAATTCAGCTAATAAATACAGCTTGGGTCTGGTTTTACTTGTTTTATTTTTTGAATCCTGTTATCTTGAGATAACAAAAAGCAGATTTCTCAAGATGAGAAAATCACAGGGAGGACTTAATGGAGGACTCAAAAAATAGTGACAGGTTCATTTGATCACCTCATTTCAGCCTTCAAGATTACTGTAGGATTGCAGGATTCATAACTGAACTGAAAGAGTTAATTTGTAATGTGATGCAGTACTTACAACATATATCAGGAGAAGATTGAGGTTTATTATGCTCAAAGACTCCTGGAGTTTTCCTTTTTTTTATTCATGAACTTTTCACTGGCTGCTGGCTCATTTTGGTCAGCATGAAAATTAACATTAACAGCATACTGCATGTCATTAATCTGCTTTATGACTATCTATTTATACATTTGACACAGTTTATTATTTGGTATATATAAAAGTGCTATACAAATAAAGCCTGATTGATTAATTGATCCCTCCATGCATTGTCCATTATGTTGAACCAATACTACATCTATAATACAACCTCTATGCATGTTGGCATGGCACTCCTGATCTCTAATAGATATTTCTCAAGATAACAAAACAATTGCAAGCATGGCCATTTTTGGCTTCCGTAGTTCCGGGATTTGGAGGAGATCTTTTTGTTTTCCTAAAAAAACTCATTGACCCAAACCAAAACGCTGTTTTCTTAAACCAGTCACGTCTTTATGGTCAGCTGTTCTTAGTTTAGAAACTGTCACTGCAACTATATCACATTGGATAGACAACCGCAGGGAAGATTGTCAGCTTGGGGTCGACCACAAATGGACACTTTGATTTGGTGTGGAGTCTTAGGCACTCTGCTGTGGTCCAGAGGCTCGTGGGTGCCATGAACTTCATTCAAGACCCAAACTAGAACTCTGTCTTTAAGTAAATGCCAGGTTTTTTGCAAGGATCAATTAAGGTTAGCCCTCACAACATGAGATAAGGTGCTAAATTAGCTTATGTTTACTGATACAATGTATGCTTTGTTTTTCTGTTTCATTCAGTGTCTTGGTCACAAACAGTGATTTTGAGATGTTAAAGCTGCAGTAGGTAACTTTTTATCATCATTGCTGAAATTGCTTGTTCAACCGGGCCTGAACGAAAACAACCAATCAGAGCTGAGAACGATACAAAGACGCTGTGGGTTGGAGGCTTGAAGTTGATTGTTGAGTCTCATTACCAGGGTCCCAAAGTGTCCGTATCTGACGCCTCTGATTGGTTGTTTTCGTTTTTGCCTGGTGGATTCTTACAAATGCCATTAGGAGCACTAGGAGGAGCCAGAGGAAGCTGACTCATCTGTCTCATGTTCCACTGTCAGGATATAGTCAAAGTTTCAGCAAATATGACAAAAAAATATTTTTATAAAAATGACCTTCTGCAGCTTTAAGTGTTTGTATTTTCAATGTTCTTAGGAAGGTATGGAAATGAAGGTTAGATGGAAGGCACAAAAGTTGGAATTAATTGCTGCTTTTGTTTTGTCATTCGTGCATTCTGATGACTTTACCATTAATTCAAAGGAAGAAGAAGAGGAAAGCGTTTAAAATGGAACTGAAAGCTGCATCCAGGTCTTACCATCACGCTCCTCCTCGACATAGTTCTCAAACTCATCCCTTTGCTCCTCATTGTACTCCCTTCTCCGCTCGTTTGCAGAAAGCCTTACCCTCTGCTCGGCTGTGGAGAGAAGAAGGTGAGCTCAGGAGTAATCCAAACATTTTATCTGTTTACACCCACTCACATGATACTGATAGATGAAGCAGGTGCAGACACTACTGTTCCTTCCTTAAACAACCATGTGTACTGACTGCAATGCTAGTGGCATGGCTGTTAATTGGTCACTTGGTCCACACTGAAACACTTCAACAGCTATTTGACAGCTTGACATAAAATGTACAGATATTCATGGTCCCTGAGGATGAATCGTAATGACTGATTCCTTGACCTTTCCTCCCACCAGAAGGTAAAAGTTTTCCCTTGTCTTGAAATATCTCAACATCTACTGGATGTATTGGCGCTAAATTTTGTACAGACGTTCCTGGTCCCCAGAGGATGAAATGTGATGACTTTGTTGATCCTGAGACTTTTCCTCTAGAGCCACCATGAGTTTGACATTTGTGGTTTTGAATGAAATATCTCATCAACTATCGGATGGACTGCTGTGAGATCTCATGATGATCTGTAAAACTCTGGTGATCCCCTGATTTTTCATCATCAGGTGAGAATTTCACTTTGTCCAACCTTGACAGCAAAAAAGATTATCATTAGCCTAAGCTGTACTAGCAAATGTTAACGTCTTTATGCACTAAACTAAGATGTAAACCATCATCAGATCCCTGGAAAACCTCAATCTGAATCAAACATTTTAAACTCTTTAAACATTAAACGGATAATAATTACCAGTAGGCTGAATACCTACATCATGTTTACACAATTATTATATTCACAAGAGTGTATATTGGGTTTAGCGAGGTGTTAAAAACAAACAAATGTGGGTAACCCATACCATTTACTGTAATGCATTAGAAACAGCTGCACCTCCCTCCTGCTCCATCACTGTACAAAACCAAACAACCCCACCCATCCCGGTACAGGGCAGCCACTGTATACATTAGACATTACTGCACTGTCTGTGTTTTCCTTTAAGTCCTTAATTTTACTTGAATCACAACAAGCTTATGAAAAGTGTAAGGATTACATCACAGCATTTCATGTAAGCACACAGACCTACATGCACTCAGCATACCCTCAGCACTCCCTTCAAATAGCCCATTGATTTGGGGCTTAGTTGTACCACAGGAAACATGGATCACACCAACTGTCACACTACTTTCACGTGTAAAACTACTTTCCTTCTAGCAGGTATTTGTGCTGCCTCTCTCTTTCTCCCATCCTAATTCTGACTCTGCAAATTTGTCCTATTTTCCCCTTGTGGTGCCTCTTCTTCTATTTACTTTTGTGAGAACTTATTAGAGACAGAACCTGTAATCCTGTAATAGGGTTTTTATTTTCTCATCAGGATTCAGCCTGCTATATTGAATGTGCTAGCATGAGATGTGATAGCATGAGCCTAATCTAATCAGAAGATGATAAAATTCTAAACAAAGGTTTTTTATCAATGTCTAAAAAATAATGTCCTTTTGTCTTTCCTAACCAGTTCTCATTGACTTCAGGATAACAGATCATAGGGTAAAGGGGAAAATCATAAAACGTTTGGAAAAGACAACCATGGCTATAAGAAAGTCGCACCGAAGGTTATGCAATCATCCAACATCTGTTGGAAATATTAGATATACCCTATTTGTATGTCGTGTCTTTTGAAAGATGGAGCAATGCAGCAAGGAGGAAATATCTCTTTTCCCTCAGTAAATGTTGATCTTTTGTATCTTACACTAAATCAGGTTAAAAAAGATTATATGAAATAATGAAACTGGCTGACAAACCACAACAAAACAAACTATTGAGGTAGAATCTCAAACACTCTGCCTCAGTGTGATCGTTTGTTAACACGGAGCCCCAGAGCCTCGCATTAAGGTCTAAACAAAGTCCTCACAAACAGTCACACATCTGCCCCCTCATGTTCTCATGAACCGAGCTGGCGAAGAAAATAATGAATCTTTCTCTAAGTGTTTTATTTTTTTTTCCTAGAATGTGAGCCTGTTTGCAGAGCAAGGTGAAATGACCTGTCTCGGAAGGCCTGCTCAGCTGCACACATGGACTTCTCTGATGGCTTTTCCACCAGCAAAAGAGTTGAATTAACAAGGACATATTTCACTGAAAAGATGAAAATCACTGTTGTCAGCAACATTTTGGTAAGTCTTGCCATTTCCATGCTCTTATCTCAGCTAAGGGAATACTGGAATCTTTGTTTTGAGGTTTGGACAAGCTATTTTGGTGATAAAGTATGATAATAAGTTCCTGTGTCCTGAAACACCTCTCATTTGTGTGTTTGTTCGATTTAGTTTGAGGTGTGTTGGCGTTGTGTATCGTACAGGATGCTGGCAGTGGAAGAATGAACTTATTGTACAGAGAAACTGAGTGAGGGAGAGCCTGCTCCATACTACCCTGTGACTCCTTCTACAGCCTCCAGCTTGTGTGTGTGTGTGTGTGTGTGTGTGTGTGTGTGTGTGTGTGTGTGTGTGTGTGTGTGTGTGTGTGTGTGTGTGTGTGTGTGTGTGTGTGTGTGTGTGTGTGTGTGTGTGTGTGTCAGATTTAAGAGCAGCTACTGTATAGAGCAACACCTGCTTGAGTTTCCATTACTCTCTCTCTCTATTTCTCTCTTGAACTTTCCCAGCTTGCAGTCAAAACCTCAAACCATATCATCCTCAGAGTCAAACTACAAACCATTAAACACTCACAAGTTCACTATGGGAGGCCAAACATGTCGTATTTTAGACTGTCCACAGCGCTGGGGCACGTCAACCACACAAATATAAATAAATATAACCCTCCAACCCCCATCTTCAAACCACAGACCAGACACTTTAGGATCCTGCTGGTTTTCTGCCAGCGAAATGACAGACAGCCTTTAAGTGGACAAAACAGTTTCTTCCTGGCAGACAACTGCTGTTATCTTAGTACACGCTAAACAGATATTGAGGAACTTACCTTGGCGCTCAGAATAATATCTGGGTGAGCGGCGACTGCGGTGCTTGAAGAAGTTAGAGGCGTCTGACTCAGGCATGAACACATGCCGTGCTGCCCCTAAAGGTCAGAGGTCAGAAGGTGAAGGTCACTTTGTGAGGACATGCGGAGCAAAGGTATGTGAAATAGTTCAAAATGGCTGAACAGGTATCACCTTTAGGATCGCCTGCTTTAGAGTCGTCCCGGACTGCTGCACTTTTCACCACACTGGAAACTACAGTATGAGGAAAATTAGAAATGATAATATCCTGACTTTACAAGTGTATGGGGCCGATATTGTAACAATACTATTGGTATCTTGAATGTTTTAAAACTGTCTCTTTGTACATACTGAGATTTGTAAATGTGTAAATGTGTACTTTAATATTTATGTGTATAAGAAATGATAACCTCCCACTTCTTAATGTTATCCAGTATTTGATGTTTGATTTTTAAAGACTTAAAAACTGATCATGTCTGACAAGGCAACACAATAACAATAATGTAGGATGAAAATTCCGACTGCAGAAATTGAACAACACAAGATTAGTATTGCAGGCAGATCTCTGTTGTCTCCGATATATGGAAGGTTGTATGGGCAAAAATTGTCCCATTACAAATGATCGATGTGGCACAATGAAACAAGATTAAAATATCTGTAACCATAATTTTTCATAGTTATGATAATTTAGAAGATATCTTTCCTCGCAAGGCCATCTATCAAATTCCACTTTACTCACTGTCGTCTGGAAAAGGCTGAATTCAGATTTGTGTTGCTCATTGTCATCTGTTATCTATACCATGCTCTGTTAGTTCACTGATTAGTCTGGGTCACAGCTGTCCTCTGGACACATATTTCATCATGGAAACTGAGATTCATGCTGACTACTAAGATTACTGGACATCTCAATTTAAGTAAATTTAATTGATTATTGTTAATAATAATTATTATATATATATATATATTATATATTTAAGGATAAATGTGGAATTTACAACCTCTGACAGATTTTCCATATTAAAGGATGACAGCACATGTCAGTAAATTAAACCATCAAAACTATTCTGCTTATCTCCCCTGAGAATGTTTAATCCAAAAATGCACACGTTACCCCACCCTTTTCTCCACCCACCCAGACGAGGTACTCACAGGTGAGGATGAGGAGGGTGGTGAGCGAAGAGAGCACAACGACTCGAGTCCAGGACATCTTGAGAGAGAAAAGCAAGAACTCAACTGGACTTAACAGCACATCAAACTGAACTGAACTGAGAAAGGAGAAAAAGATGAGGGAGGGAAGGGAGGAAGGTAGGAGAGGCAGGGAGAGTGGGAGGAGAAGGAGGAAGAAAAAGGTTCAGGGAGGGGAGTGAAGCTGCTGGAATTTCAATTCCCTAAGGGAGAAGAAGATGAAGAAGAAGAAAACATGAAGGAAAATGATCTTTAATGGACGAGTTGAGTAGAAAGAAGAGGGCAGTAGAATGGAAACAAGGATATGGAATTAGATGGAAGGAGACATCACTGTGCATTGGTGGCCCCAAATGGCACCAAGTTAAAAAATATATATAATTTTGTATATATATATATGTAGAAGCATAAAGCAGCATAAACATTACATTTCATATAATACACCACTGTATATACATATCTGAATATTCAGCATGTAGTCTGTTACTATTAATAGATAGAAATGATGAAAGCTTAAAATCACTTAAAGGACCAGTGTGTAATATTTAGTGGCATCTAAGTCCATCACATAGGAGAAACTATGGTGGTGATCTGGCCTACCGTAGAGACATGGCAGTTCAACATGGTGTTTGGTCACTAGGGGGCAGTGCAACAAGTTGTAAACACAACATTGACATCTTATGAAGTTGATAAGCAAACATGTTGGCAAAAAAAAAAAGAAGCCTATTTACACATCCAGCAAATACAGAGCAACATACAAAGGGGGGCATGGAGTATGTGTCTCAGCTTTCCAGTCATTCCCAGTTTATGCACTTCCAGTACTGTTTAGGGACCTCGGTATGCAGAAATATTCAAATATAGGCTACTAGGTGAAAATAACACATATATACCACATGCAAAAAAACAGATATTCAGATATCTAGAGGTCACAGGTCAAGGGATCCAGTTTTAAAAAACTTTGGAGCGTTATTTGGCCCCCTTCCCCACAGGCTAGCATGATATCATTCATATCATCAACTGAGTGGAAGAGGTAAGGATTATAGGGTGGAGCTTGGGGTGGCCAATCACCACAGGGTTAGGGTTAGATGGGGTCATATGTTGGATGAGCTGACACGTCTCTCACCACCAGCCAATCAGTTATCAAACATTCATCCTGGAGGTCAATGGCCCTTTTGTGTCTATAGGTAAGTTCATATAGTCTTCAACGTTCGCTGTTTGTAGAGAGATGCTGTGTTTTTTGTGTATTTTTTATGTTATATTTGAGTTTGCTGACCAAGGTTCACAAAGCTTGAAGTGAGGTAAATAGGCCAGTTTGCAGTTCAAAGCCTGCTTTACAAAGTTTAAAGCTGAAGTCGACCCTAAATCCCCTCAAGACAAAATATAATATTACACTGTACAGGTATATTATTATAGGTATTGTTAATGCTTAGGTATTGCAAAATAATTCCACTTTATTACACTATTTAATGACATAGAATTTCAGAGACCTGATGTGCTCACAGATTTTTTTAAATGCCTTTTGTTAGCTGTTATGACATGCTCTTATTGTCCATTGTTACCTTTCTATATGAATTACGTAAATTTCCCTCGCGGGCAGAGTCTGTGCAGGTGGTAACATCTTGATGCTGCACTGGACCCATTCATTATCGTTCCAGCTATGAATGATCTCAGGGTTTAGCATACCTTACTGCACTAACCTGTGCTTAATGCTGCATTATGCTGCGGGCTATTGGACTGTGAGTTCTGCTTAAAGTCCCAGTCCACTTAAAATCAGTTTTTCTTCCTGTTCCTACAGTGTGGTGTTTGATTATCACTGTTTGAATGATATGCAGAGTTTAACACTAGAAGGAGGTTTTCACATTCATCTGCTGAAAGAGGAAAGTTTCTCTGAGCTCATTGAACATCTGATTCTAGGGGCGGGGCCTATCAGCATGATTTCTGACATCACAAATAGTTTGGAAGTCAACCCTGGTCCAGTATGCAACTCCTACAGTGTGATGTAGAAACTTGAAGCCACCAGTAAACATACACTGAGAATGGACTTTACAGTGAAGTAGGAAAACATGAGAAATGACCATTCATTATTGAATTTTTAATGATCTAGAGTAGTTGCATTTTTAAGTGCATCTAATGTTGGAATTATACTTTTTAGTGGAAAAAAACATATCAGACACACATTGTTCCAAGCACACTCTCTATATACATATCATATGTCTGGAGAGGTTCTTTTAATTGAGAGGTGCAAAGTTTGTAAGTTGTTATGGATTTTTCCTTTCACTGTCTGTGTGATGTAGTGAAATCTGAAATGTGTTTCAGCCTCCCCCAAAGGAAACTGGGCAGAGACAAGCGGCTCAGAAAAACGACAACAGATCTGGAGTCTGGGAGACATTTTGCAGTAAATGAGCCTGCAGTTATATCTGTGTGTGAGAAACTATTAGCTATGCCAGGTCCAAGTTGCATATGTGGGTTTATAAATGTAAATGTGCTTCAGTCTGCTTCTGCTAAAGCTTAGCCGGTGTTTGCTTATATCATGCACTGTATGGTTCATATATCAGATTTAACTGTATCCCTCTGTGAGTTTGTGTTTATGCTGACATTGTATTGTGAGTTTGTATGTGTGTGTGTGTGTGTTTGGGAAGCATTTTACCACCTTCTGTGATACTGACTGTGACAAAGCCTCCACATTTCAGCTCTCCTGCATGTGAATGAATTTCCTGCATTTCTGAATTAAACCAAGAGCTGAGAGCTTCCCTCTGGGTTTGAACAAAGACGCTGTTCAAACACACCCACACACACACAGAGAGAAACACTCTATGCTGGATCAGGTGTTTTTTTGTGGGGTTCCACTGTAGGGAGCCAGGAAATAACTGGACCTCCATTTCAAAACAGCCAAAACCCCTCTGAGACCAACATGTGACTGTTCAAATGTCATTCAGTGCAGAGCAGTTTTCTCTGATGCACCGAGAACAACGTGTAGTTTTCACTTGCGTGGAAGGCCAATCCAGCCGGCAGATACCGAAAAACGAATGAAGTGAGTCCAAAATTTGCTATTCTGTTTTTGAATTTGAAGGGTTTAGGTTGGTGCTGCCCAATCCAGGCCAGCTACGGCCAGATAAGAGATTCAAAACAAATCTGAGCGAGTGCCAGTAAGACATGCTCAGCTTTCCAAACATGATGATCCTCCTACCCATAATCCCTTGTGTTTTGGGGACGTTCCACAACACAGATTTCCATTTGCCTCAGTGTCATTACTTGGAAGTGAACCTTATTAGACTTTTCAGATAAATCAGTCAAAACCTACATAAGTAAATCATAAAACATGATAGCACTTAGGACTTAATTATGGTATAGATTTATAATCGTACATTAAATTACATTACAGGTCAAAAGGGGCTGGTGTGTGTTTCTGTGTCTGAAGCTTTAGAGGAAATTAAAGCAATCTCATTTTTATTGCAGTCATTTTTAATTAATAATGTTATTAAAACCTCATGTTTATCACAGCATGATTCGAGAAAACAAAAACAAACATCCACTCACGCACCATCAGACTGTTAAAAAATCACATCAACAGACACAACTTTAGCACGCTGATACATTTATAAGGCAGTGTTAGGTCAAGGCCTCTGTTAGTGTTAATTAACGAGAGCTGCAATCAACACTGATTGTATTTAACACGTTTCCGTTCATAGCTCTCACTACTCTCTCTCACTCACTCTACTTTAGCTCTCTCTCTCAACTTCGCTTTACCTCTCACACATAATGATTCTTACTTTTTTAAGCACGTCTATCTGTGCAATTAACATCCCTTTCCTTTCCATTTTCATTAAACAGATTCATAGATATTTCAGGATGCATTCACTGTTCCATTGTTTTTTAAGTGCAATTTCAACTTCATTTTGGGCTGAAAAACATTGTAGAGCAGGAGGTGCTCTGACTGTCAGGTGTTTTATTCTCCTCAGACTATGGAACAATTTGCTTATATTATTTCCTGTCTTTATTTATCATTACTTATTGCTTTTATTATGAAAGCAAATTATGTATTGACGATAAGAGATCTTTCTTATGATGACTTTACAGAGCACTCAAAGGAAGCCTGGAACACTTTCTGTTGCTTCTTATCCAATCACCATATCGATCTGTTCTAATTTCACATTAGTGGTTAGTCACCCAGCAGGGACAGTCACAGCACGCTGTCTTTATAGTGAAATCCTCTCTCCTTGCACGAGTCGGCCTCTGAAGGCCCAGGTATCCTGTAGGAGAAATAGAATTAAAGGGTGAGTTCACCAAAAACAAACCAGAAGTGGAATTCTAGATTTCTTTCCTTTAACAAGTTTTCTATTTGTTACATCACTGGCTGCTTATTGCGCTTTTACGTGTATGCTTGCAATGACGTACACATTTAGAAACTACAACCCAAATATCAACAATGTATACAATGTCATTCAATCTTATAAAGCTATTCACGTGTGTTTTGTCTGACTGAAATAATGCAGGTCGTGGATGACTCTGTTTAAACAAACTATAGAAAAATAGCAAGGTATTCGAACTGTATCAAACACTTTCAAGCCCTGTATCATATTGTTTTATAGTGGGGAATGTTTTATAAGAGATGAATGTAAATGTCTGACCTTGAAGGTAATATTGTCGTCCAGGGCGTACTTCTTGGCTGCGATGTCCTGCACCTCCTTCTCTATGTTTTCCTGTGTGGTTCCCTTCACATCGATGTAATAGCAGTCAGCGCTGGCATAGTGGCAGGAGATGGCCTGGAAACACACACACACACACAATGTTATATAATATTTTCATCACATCTGTTGTTATGATTTGTTTTTGTCACTAACAAAAATAAGAACTTAAGAAATTGTGCCAGACGAAAGGTAGTGTAGTACCTTGCGGAAGCCCTGCGTCTGGTTCATGCCAGAGCCATGGATCAGCAGTGGATGGAAGAAGACGGTGTCGCCCTTCTCCATCTCCAGGTGCACCCTGGGGTGCTTCGGGTCGTAGCCACGCACTCCGTGGTACATCTTGTTGACGCCACCCTGAGGACACATGAGACTGTGTGTATGTGTGTGTACCTAGTAGCAGGCATAAACATGCTTCCTGTAGAATTTGCTGTGTGTGTGTTTATACCTCCCACTCGGGGTAGTCGTGCTCCTGCAGGGTGCCGGTGTGTGTTCCCGGCAGGACGACCAGGCAGCCGTTCTGCCTGTTTACTTTCTCCATCGCCGTCCAAGAGCAGACAATCCGGTCTGCTGGGCGGAACGGGAAGTAATGCAGATCCTGATGCATCGGGTGACGAGACGTCTTCTTACCTGAAACAACAAAAGAGACATCTCCTAACACCTGGACCTGGACATGGTTGATAATTGGATACAATTGGATGAGGCATAATTTGAAAGCTGACAAGGGACCCTTTATATTTTCACATTGAGGTCCAGGGATCTTTGAGGTGGTTCCAGTGGTTCTCCAGACAAAGGAAAACCAGTTTACTCTAAATATTATTTCGTTGCTCCATACCTGCATCAGGAGGTTTGTTGATCAGCATTGTGTGCATGGCCATGATGTTGGGTCCAGTGAAACACTCCACATACTTCAGAATCTAGAGATAGAAAAACACAATTCTTTGTCCAACACTGTTCATGTTTAAATTATTTCAAAGTGAAATAGCTTTTCAGAAAAATACACATTACCTGGTCAAAAGGGGTGCACCCTATGTAATGCTTTTAGTCAAATGATCTCGGTGTCCCTGGGTCAAACGTATGTGATTTTTGGTATTACTATTAGGGGGCGCCAAAGTTTACACAAAGTGGCTTTATTGAATACCAAATAGTTTGACAATATCCAGGTGAAGATGTTTAAACTGTGACACGATGCATCTTCAAGTACTCAATGAAAGAAGTTTTGAAAAAAGTTTAAAGACACCAGATTGAAACAAGGACATGTTGTGATCTACTTGTGTGTGTGTGTGTGTGTGTGTGTGTGTGTGTGTGTGTGTGTGTTGTACCTGTGGTAAGGTGCAGTACTGGAACAGTTCAGGATCTTCCTGGAAGTCCTGGAGTTTGGAGACCGCTTTCTGATCCGCAACGAACTCTGACTTAGCGATTGCCAAGTCCCTCATCACCACCAGACCGGGAACCTCCACTTCCCGTCGACAGATCCGCTCAAACTCCTTCCTGAAGAACAGATATAGATATAGATCACATTCAGCACCGTACAATACATCTGCCAGTCTATAAGAGGGTAACTTGTTTCACTGTGGAGTTATAGATTTACATTTACATTTATCTTGTATCATTCTGATTGAATATACAATAAGATCATTAATGGGTTTATTGTAAACGGTATTTAGATGTTTTGTATTTAAGTATAAAAGTGTTTCAATTCAGTTACTGTTATTATTAACAGCAATGTTTTCATGCTAAGTTTCCTTTTCTTTTCGTTTCAGATGGTCACCTGAAACTCTCGATGTCCTTGTCAGACACCAGATTCTTGATGAGGATGAAGCCATTTTCCTCATAGAAGAGTCGCTGTTCTGGGGTCAGCAAGTCGTTATCAAAAGAGTATCTACCAAAAAGAAAACAAAAAGATGACACACAACAATATCACCAAATGTAAGTTACTTATATATTAAGTTGGAATGAAATGCTATTACAGACTGGAAATGTTTGGCATGTTAATGTGGCATTCAAGTCATATTGCATTTACAGTAAATTAACTGAAGCAGGACGTGTGAGAGTTTTCTGAAACTTTGCATAATAAAAGGCAACTTGCTAACATGAAACATGCACTGCTGCTGAACTAATATAAAAACAGGGCCAGTTTCCTTGTAGTCTTTTGAATGGATGAACCTGAATGCAACAGCAGCTCTCAGGGTTTGTGTTTTTAATTTTTGTTTTCAGTTTAGTTAGTTTTCAGAATGGATTTGCTTGTTTAAAACATGTTTATTGGATTTAGGTTTATTTTATTTTATTGTAATATGGGGGAAATATGTCAGGGTATAAATGTTTTACAAAGTTCCTACTAGGTTTTACAATACAAACACATCCCAGTCTCAATAAACATACACACCAATGCCTCTTCGTGCTTGTTGTTGACAAATTTGACCAAACTGACAAAGACTAAAACTAAAGACATTTCCTGTATATTTTTATTTTATTTTAGATTGTTTTGTAAGTACACAATGTCGCTTCAGTTTAGTTTTAGTTAACAATTATATATCTTTTTCACAGCAGCCAAATAGTAGGGTAAACACATATGTTACCAATCAAAAAGGACTATAACCTCGCCAGCTATTACACAGGAGCAGAAAACTGGGCCATCATGAGAAGTGATCAAAGGGAGCACACACTGGAGAAACTGTGTCAAAGGTGAATTGTATAATGGTACGAAGACATTTAGCCTGAGGCAGCCAAATGCTACAGCTACAGTAAAGCTACAGTAAAGCTACAGGTAAGCTACAGTAAAGCTACAGGTAAGCTACAGGTGTGGCCCTACCTCAGTCTCTGTGGGGGACTGTAGCTGTGGGTTTGAAGTGAAGTCGGTGCAGCTCTCTGAGGAAAATCAGTCAAGGACGAAACCAAGAAGAAGCAACAAAAACAATGTCTCAGGAAACTAGTTATCGTATCAGGACTCAACGAGGGCATCTACACATTGACATTACTGTCCTTCTTCCAAACGCTGTGACTTCTGGGTCGCTGATTTCAGTTCATGTCCGTGTTATAAATCATTAATTAAACATAAAATACGAGCTAATATGCGTTCAGCTGACCTAAAAACAGACAGACTGGCCTTCTGAGTAACTTTAAGCACTTCAAGGAGACTAGATATGGATCAAGATAAGGTAAACAACACAATTTCACAGCCATACACTGGCCGCTTTGCAGCAGTCTTTACACCTTCACCTGCAACCTGACACAGAAACAATGGTGGCAGCCTCGCTTCAAAATAACGGTGTTACTGTGCTCATGAGTGCGAGAACCAAACCCATTACCGTAATTAAACCCGTTCATAAACAATGATAACAATAAATTAACACCTGTACTACTCGTTTTCACAGAGGCCTACGGTCCACAGCGGGACCCCGGCCTGGCCCACCAGAGCCGACCGCCAATAGGCACACAGCTGTCGGCTAGCGGATCAGCATGTACCGCTCTCTTGAGCCTCCATGATGCATAAAAAAACAAAAACAACAAAGCAGAATGAAAGGATACGATCGCGGCTGGTTGTCGATCAAGATGATTGATCAGCAGTTTGAGTCTCTCCGCAGCCCGAGACATGTTCCTGTCAGCTCGTATCCCAGTGTTATCCGTGTGTACACGGACAGCTCTGTGTGTGTGTGTGTGTGTGAGAGTGAGTGAGTGGGGTAAAGGGCAGTGATGACAACACAACACACACACACACACACACACACACACACACACACACACACACACACACACACACACACACACACACACACACACACACACACACACACACACACACACCCACAGACCAATAATACACACCCACAGACACTGTCAGTGGGTTATTCTTCATACAGGTGTGTACAGCCTGATTACTCTGAGGAGAAACTAAACTACTAAGACATTTTAATATGTCAGTATGTCACTCTGTTATGAAGAAATGTACTACCACAATAATAGTAATAATGCATTGATTTTGAAGAATACATGATAAACTTATTTTGTTTATTCAATTGAATTTTAATAATATTCTTTATTTAGACTTACTTATAATAAAACTTTACTTATATTTAATAATCTGTATTACAAATGTTCAACAATAAGATTCAATTCATTAAAGTCGCTGCAGCTTTTATCCAGCAGGTGGCGCCATACAACCAGAAGTCAAACAATGATCGTTACATTGTAGTTTCTGCTTGTCACACAGATTATAGCTATTGAAATTAACATTCATCCTTTTAAAATGATTAAAATTAGGGAATGAGAAAATTAGATTCAGTTAAATATTCAACTTGGAATTAAGAACATTAATTTAGGATTAATGTTGGTAATGATTTAATCGTTTTATTGTCTTAATTAAATATATGTTATATACACCTGTATGTTTAATATTTAATTAAAGACTGCTTGGGACAAGGGAGAAACTACATTTTGAAACAGTGCTCCTGCAGTGTTAGACCCCTGAAAAGCCACAGTGTTTTAATATTATAAGCGAATGAGGTACAAGAAACAGGGGAAACGAAAGCTATTCAAATAAAGATACCATTGTTTCGTTCATCTGCATTTCCTACCGCTCCTCTCAACTTCGTCAAGCTGACTACGACTGCTAGTATTAGAGCGGAACCAAGTTGATTTTCCTTTTTAACTAAATGTCACATGATTACATTATGTCAAAACACAGCCTTGGGAATTATCCATCTATTTAAATATAACTACCTAACTAGGCTAACTAGATATTATAGGATAAAATTTGTTATTTTTTACTTTAATTCTGACCAGAAACTGTAAAATCCTCATTGGCTTTATTTTGAAAGCCGTGACAGAAAAAGACGCATAATCGCTGAGAGTGGTTTTATTTTGAAACGCTACCAGAAGTTCCGTTGTCGTTTACTGCGTGGTACTTGGTGGCAGCTAGCTCAATGTACCCCTCCCGTCTCCTGTGTCGACAGCACTGATCCTCCTCCAGCCTCTTTAAACTGCTTTCACCGCCACACAGTCGACATTTCTGGGGTTCGGTCCGTAGCCCTCCGTCCTCACGTCCCTCACGTCCCTCTGTGTGTCCCGGAGGATATTTCTTTTCTACCGGAGAGTCTGGAACCGAAACCGCACACAGACGGAGCTGTGTTTTAGGTGACTTCAAGTGGGCGGATAAAGCGGAGGACGGGCATCCGGGCCTGGCTGCTCCGGGACTCGGCTCCAAACGACGGAATTCACCATTTTCAGGTAAATTAGCTCAAGTGTCATCTCTGGACAACGCTCAGTCTGTCCGATAATGGAGTCCGTGACGTTACGTTTGGTCCGTCCGCTTAGGACGAAGTCTGAACAGTGGTGTGTGTGGAAATGACAACACAGAGGAAACGGCAGCTGAAGAATAATTCAGCCTGACTCCAGCTGTATTTCATATTTTACAAGCTACCTTCCGTTTGACGCTTTATAAACTATGACTGACATGTTCGCGCCTGGCACACATTTAGAGAAATAATACCTCTTATATTGTGATTTTTGGGTGCAAATATTTTGGTTTGTTTACATAACGTATGCATTGGCAGCCAGACTACCACCCAGCGATAGGAACCCTACTGTAAATGATAGAGGGATGTTATAGGAAAATCACAGAGAAACATGGAGGCACATTATTTGAATACAAACGTAAAATATCATCCTGACTATTGAAATTAAGAGCTAGAATAACATCCCTGTCTTATTGGTCTGGTTTCTGGGCAAGCAGTTAACACCAATAATGAAGGGATGTCATTGACAAATCTCCAAATAATACCATAAACCCAATGTGAAATCAATATATAACACTATAGACACACTTCAAAGTCTGTGCAACCACATATTACAACCACAGATTGATGATGAACACACCAGGCTGTACTCATTCACATGATTTCCTCCAGAGTTTCCTTTCACATTTAAAGCAGCACAGCAACATCTTTCACAGTGAAAATGTGTGTTTACTTAAAACATCTATTTATATATATATATAAAAGGTGTATTTTGACAGTGTACAGTAAATCCAAAACAACAAGGATGCACCATCCTGTTGTCACCCTGGAAACAGTGAGATCTTAAGTGAACGGTTGTTAGATAAACCGGCGTATTAGCCCCTAAAAAAAACTCTAAAGATGCTTCATATGAGTTTTATCAGGTTACAAGTAATATGTAGAAATTGTAGTTAGTGTGTACAGTACAGTTGTTGCCACCGTAGCATCTTATGATCACTGTATGAATCAACAGCAG